GAACTGCAGAACTGCAGTCAGCTGAAGTAGCCTGCAGTGCTGCATTTAACCACTGCGCCACCTCGGCTCTTAATATCTTCTCATTCCTAATCAACATTGAGAATGCCAAGTTGAGAAAGGCTGTAAGACAACCAGGAAGGAAGGAAGGAAGGAAGGAAGGAAGGAAGGAAGGAAGGAAGGAAGGAAGGAAGGAAGGAAGGAAGGAGTGGAGGCCATTCAGCGATCCAGATGGCCTTCGAGTTAGACAATTCCAGTTCTATACTAAATCAAGTGGCTGACCTCTTCGTTTCTTTCCCTTCCTTGTCTGCCGAAGCTTAAAACTGATCTCTGGAATGAATCGCGTCGAAAACATCAGTAAATACAGCAATAACAAATATCCGGAGGCACTTTATCGTCTTTAGCAAACTTCCATCTCATCCCAATTCTCCAGATTCATTTAGATACAGACTTAAATACTCAACCCGGAGTCTCCGCGGCTAGGAAGAATCCCAGAGCTGATTATTCAACGAAGAAAAAATAATAGGGTCACCCTTACTTACCATGAGATTTGCTGAATTTCCAAGATTCAAAAGCTGAGGGTAAAAATACTAATTAGATGTAATCTCTTTATATCAAACATGTTGAGAAAAAGAGATGGAATATATATCTTTTTTTTTGAGGGGGGGGTAAAGAACTTTGTTTTTCGAGGGTCCCCAGGATATGAGTTTTAAAAGAGAGGGGGAAAGGATCAATGTAATCTGGCTGTAATTAACACACATACTTTTAGGCATGCTTTAATTTATTCATGGCTAATATAATGGGAAAATAATAAAAGGCCCACTAATACACTCGGTATAGCTGGAGTAAATCTACCCCAATCATCTCTGCACTTGAATTAAACAAAGACTCTTCTGAGAAATCGCAGATAAAAGCAATACAATGTAGAAATACTTTGAGACGATCAGCTATCAAAGTCTCTCTCCTATATTAAACTGTTTCCAGAGGAGCAACAGTGTTAGTCTTAAAATAAGAACAAGGGTCTTTCATGGTATCTCATATGAAAAAAAAAGAACTTTATTTTAACGTAAGCTTTGGTCACTCGTATCCATTTCATTAGAAACCACATCTAGTTTAAGATCATCTATTAGTCTTGGTTTCGTCTGCTGGCTTTTTAACCTCATCCTGTAGGGATGCTTGGTGCTTTTCAAATTTGGCTGTTTTCTTGCAGATGTTTCTTAACCCAGCTGGGTAACATCATCAGTGCTAGAAGGGAGTTGGGGAGGAGGAAGAGCAGGAGGAGAAGCAGAAGCAAGAGGAGGAAGAAAACTGTGGGATCATTGGTGCCCCCTGAGCTGGATTGTTTTCCTACAGATGTTTCTTGACCCAGCTGGGTAACATCATCAGTGCTAGAAGGGATAGGGGGGAGGAGGAAGAGCAGGAGGAGAAGCAGAAGCAAGAGGAGGAAGAAAACTGTGGGGTCATTGGTGCCCCCTGAGCTGGATTATTTTCCTACAGATGTTTCTTGACCCAGCTGGGTAACATCATCAGTGCTAGAAGGGATAGGGGGGAGGAGGAAGAGCAGGAGGAGAAGCAGAAGCAAGNCATCCTGGTTGCTCTTCTTTCAGCATCTCGCTCTTTCTTCTTCTTCACCCAGCATCTTGAAGCATGTGATTGCCTTTTTCCCTAGGACCTCAAACCATGTGGTCCTGTCCACCATTAAACCATCTTTCTAAGCAGCCTCCATGTTTCCAGTGTCTTTTCCCCCACTTGGAACTGAACCCAGAAGGACATTTCTTCCAACAGTAGTACGCTAAGGAATTTCAGGGTTAAATGCTAAATAAAGTAATACTCCAGTGATCAGACTTCTCCCTGACGCTGGTCTTCTACACATGAATGTTAATAGTATGGGTTTTACCTTGGCACAATCAATGTTTTAATTATCTGTTGTTTGGACGGAGAGTGTATAAATAATGTGCAGGCCAGTATTGTAAGTTATTCAACATAGTTTGTAAGTTGACAAGAATTGAGCTGGACCATGGGGTTTTTCTGCTTCTTGTATTGTGAAGAAAGGACAGTCGATAATGTGCTTCTCTGCTAACTTAAGTTTGTAGGCGGGAAAGGGAAATCACGTTTTGACACCTGAAAGGAATTTAGAGGAGACATTAGGACGTGAGTTAAAATTATATGGGAGAAGAACATTGGTAAAAATAGGTATCTGGGAGTGTGATGTGCCAATCCACTTGAGTTTTACATCTTTCCTCAAAGAGAAAACTCAAGACATTCTGTACATTTACTGAACTGTAGTTTAATAATGAACGGAATTGCACAGAATAGAAAACATAACAAACTAAGATGGCTAGGTTTGCATATCCTACTACACCCAAGCCAAATTGCAATATAATTAGTGTGAATCTCTGCCCTAAAAAATGTAATTTTTTATCTGTATGAAGAGCACAATTTATCTTTGTGAAGAATACACATTTCCCTATCTCTCTGCTGCCCTCAGGCGGTGGACTCGATTTAGCATCTTCCCCCCCAAAGAAGACACTCCCCAACTTGGGACTCCCAGATCTGCTGGAAGTCCCATGATCCTCCCCTTGTTGAAAGGCCCCAGATGGGATGACAGCCCTCTCCTCTGCCCTTCTAGCACTTAGCGTATCTATGATATCGAAGGCGAGTTACTACAGTATCGTATACTGTACAGTAGTGTATAGCTAGCAGCAAGCGCCGGGCATCCTTGAGCCGCGCAGGCGCAGTTGTTCCTCTGGCGTTCGGGCTCCACATTGGCGGAAGGGAGAGAAAAGGGACCATAGAGACGGCGCGATGGGGACGCTGGTCAGAGAAGAATTAGGTACCGTACTTGGCAAACGGGTTATCGCGAGTGGGGAAGGGTGGAGGAGGCTGAGGCTGGACGTGGAGGTGGGGAGCGGGCGGTGGGTCCTAAAAGAAAAACGAGGAGGGCTTTATTATCATTTTTATTGCTTTTTTACTCCCTTATCAGGGTTTTGGGGGTTTCCCAGGGAGCTTATTGCATCCCGGGGGGATTAATTGGGTTTGCAAAGATGGTTTGCAAAGATGGTTTGCAAAAAGAACCATCTTTGCAAGGCGCGCACGGTGCAAAACGGGCACCGCTTTTAGACGAGGCGCAGGTCACGGTGCAATGGAGAAGAGCAACCAGGATGATTAGGAGACTTGGAGGCTAAAACATAACGATGAACGATTGGGCATGGCTAGTCTAAAACCCATACTATTAACATTCTTATGTGTAGAAGTCTAGAGGGTCAGGATAAGTCTGATCACTTGAGTATTACTTTATTTAGCTTTAACCCTGAAATTCCTTAGCATACCAAAGTAAAAAAAAACCCACCAAGTTGTAGATTAGCAAAACACCAGTTATCTCCTCAGATATGAATACACCAGATTTCTCTAGCCAATGACCTCCAGATTCCAACTCTAGAATAAATGAGACTCTAGAAAAAGTGCCGTGAAGAGCAACCAAGACGATTAGGGGACTAGAGGCTAAAACATACGGTGACCGGTTGCAGGAACTTGGCATGGCTAGTCTAAAACGCATACTATAAACATACTTACGTGTCGAAGACTAGAATGTCAGCGAAAAGTTTGATCACTGGAGTATTACTTTAGCATTTAGCATTTGTTGTAGATTAGCAAAACACCAGTTCTCAGATATGAATACACCAGATTTCTTTAGCCAATGACCTCCATATTCCAACTCTGGAATGAATGAGACTCTAGAAAAAGTGCAGAGAAGAGCAACCAGGATGATTAGGGGACTGGAGGCTAAAACATGAACGGTTAGAGTAACTAGGCATGGCTAGTCCAGTGAAGAGAAGGACCAAGGGAGACGGGATAGCAGTGTTCCAATATCTCAGGGGCTGCCACAGAGAGGAAGGGGTCAAGCTATTTTCTAAGACACCTGAAGGCCAGCCAAGGAATAATGGATGGAAACCAAACAAGGAGAGATTCAACCTGGAAATAAGGAGAAATTTTCTGACTGTGAGAGCCATCAACCAATCGAACAGAAGTTACCTTCAGAAGTTGTGGGAGCTTCATCACTGGAAGCTTTCAAGAAGAGACTGGACTGCCATCTGTCAGAAATGGTGCAGGATCTCCTGCTGGAGATGACCTTCCAACTCTGTTAATCTGTTAAACTCCATCAATTCTCCCTATCCTTTACAATCTCGGGGGAGATTGAAGGCAATGACTTAAACATTCCTCCCTTCCTTAGTTTCTTCTTCTTCTTTTAGCGGATCCTAAATGAAGGATATTTACGTGGGCAAAACATAACTTCCCCCCAAAAGAGGAAGAATGTCCCAATAAAGGTTTTTGTGCGACGGGGCACAGGCAAAAGATTGTGTGAGCAGTGTTGTTAGAAACAGTTTGTGCTGTTCTTCTGTTCTCTCCCTCAACGGTGTCTTTTGTCTCAGTTATTTATTTATTTATTTAAATGGTTCCATGAAGGTGGAAAATCACAGGCATTAATGGAAATGCCCAGGGGTTTGAAAAATTTTGTAAAAGAGGCAGCTGAAAGTAAATCATTTCCTTGGTGGCCCACCCACAAAGTCTAACTGTGTAGTGTGTGTGGTTTTTTTTGATAGTGCTAAATCCCTTTGCTTTAGTAATGTCTGTGAGGGTATGTACTTTAAAAGGCGAAGGCTCAGTTGAGTTGAGCAGGATTCCTTGCGACTACAGGAACTGGTGGGGGGGGGGTTGGCATCAAAACAGAAACTATTTGTGGTACTAGGTGGTACCTTGCTCAATAGTAGTAACTGTGAGAGGGATCTTGGAGCCCTAGTGGACAACCATCTACGTAAATAGGAGCCAGCTGTGGGCAGCAGCTGCCAAAAAAGCCAACACAGTTCTAGGCTGTATAAACAGAGGGATGGAATCAAGATCACATGAAGTGTTAATACCACTTTATAAAGCCTTGGTAAGGCCACACTTGGAATATGGCATTCAGTTTTGGTTGCCACGATGTAGAAAAGATGTGGAGACTCTAGAAAGAGTGCAGAGAAGAGCAACAAAGATGATTAGGGGACTGAAGAACAACATGTGAAGAACAATTGCAATAACTGGGTATGTCTAGTTTAATGAAAAGAAGGACTAGGGGTGACATGATAGCAGTGTTTCAATATTTGTGGAGCTG